TGTCCCGTTGGTGGTTGTCCCGTTGCCACGGCGGGGCCCCCCGGCCTGGGGCAGGGCCGGCGTGGGAAGGTGGGAAAGCAGCGCCGGCAGTGTGGCGTCGGGGGCAGTCGGCTTCCCGACGGCGAGGAGAGGGCCAGGGCCGCGTAGGCCCTGCAGAAAGCGATTACAGGCACAAAAATAACAGGCATTCAGCGAAGAGGGCAGCAGGCCACGGAACTTTGGTCTAGCAAGTGGGACTTGGCTACTTCCAGTGACCAGGAGTGGTTCCTCGTGGCGTGGTTTGCCCTCCCCGTACGGCTGCGACGAAGCGTGGGAGGGCGAGCGAGGGAAAACGCTGCTCGGAGCTGATTTCTCCCGAAACGTCAGGCGTCGTTGCCGCTCTGTTGACAGCTTCTGGCTGTCTCTCTCATATAAAGGGCTGCAATACCAAAATGCTGTGAGAGTGCGTTTAGAATAACATTCAGCTGCATTCCCAGCTTTGTTTTTGGTTTTTGGTTTGTTTTTTTTTCTTAGCTGATTCTCATCCTTCTGTTTTCGGCAGCGCAATCTGTCTCTACGGCAGCAGGGACAGAGGCCGCGGCCCAGACGGGAGCGTAGCGCTCGCGGGACGGTGTGGTGAAACCCGTGGGGCCCTGCGTGACGCTTTCCAGCAGTCCCAGCTGACTGCTAAGTGCCAGAAATCTCCTAAAACCCATCCTGATTCATTTTGTGTAGATGACACGGCCTAAGGCTACAGGAAAAGCAGCTTTTTTTTGAAAGCACCAACGAGTGACTTCGCAGGCAGAGGGAAGAAAGGGCTGGGAAAGCAGGGCCACCCTCCAGCCAAGGCACGTAACACCAGGGCCTGGGGGAAAGACCCCCGGAGCCCTGCTCGCCGCGCAGTGTGAAAATGTGTTACGTAAAGGACGTGACCGATCAGCGGCATGGGACTGCCCCGTGGGCTGAAACTTGTCGATAAGAAATCGAGTGGAAAATGTCTGCTTCAAGAAGCGGCGTGCACGCTAGGAGGAAACATCCCCGCGCACCCGGCGCTCTGATCAAGACTGCTTGCTGGCTGAAATCCCCAGACGAGCTTTAGAGGGTCCGGGTTTTTGCCGCCTGATGGTATCACCTGGAAGCCTTGTCCTGAAGGGACACTGGGGCTGGGCCACACCGGACAGCTCAGAACCGGGGCCTCTGTGCTGATAACCCCTACGCTCACCCGTTATGCAGAAGCGGAAGAGTTTCGCAGGCACGAATGAGAGGAGCAGAATGCGACACGGAGCTGAAGAACTAATTAACGGCAAGAATCTGACGGGAGCTGCGGCTGGCAGGATGCGTTTGTGCAGGCGGTGCGGCTGGAAGGACGGGATTCCTGCAGTCCGGCTGGAAACTTGGGCACTGCGGGGGTAATGCAGGGCAGGGACGGGGCCCTGTAAAAACTCCTCTGGGGCCAGCCAAGGCGGCGTGCTCTCAGGTTTGCAGAGGAGTCCTGATAGCTGGGCAAGCAAGGACTGGATTTCTGCCGTCTGCGCAGAGGTGTTTCATCCCCAGCAATGCACAGGTAGAAGCGTAGGGACTTTATTCACTCCTTCACTGGGCCAGCTGCTCCGGAGAAAACCCGCTTGGGAATTACGCAGGTGCATTTCTTCCCGTAGGAAAGGAGAAGTGGAAACTGTCACTTACTGAAATAATTCCGCTGAATCGACACACTGGCTGGTTACCTGGATTTCTGCACCGTTTAAAATATACGGTGTACGTTCATATTCCACTCCTTAAATAATTTATATTTGCTTTCCCAAAGGAGCAGCAGGAGGTCACTGCCATCATGTTTATGCATTTATTTCACAACTATGTATACCCTAAAGGAACACTGTCAGGCTTCTTTTCCCCAAACTCTGTTTCTCAAAACCATGCAATTTTATTTCTTTTTAAAACATGACTTGATTTCCTTCTTGTTTTTAAATGGTAGTGATTATGAGTAACTTCCATAACAAAGATGTAGGCATCTAACACAGAAGGAAACACTGTTGTGCTAAGGAAACAGATTTGTACACCTTGGACGCTGGGTTCAAGACGCTGTGCACATCTCTTCAGGCTTTTAACTGTGAAGCGTGATGAGCGGTAACTGGACCCGCTGTCAAAGTGGATTTTATAGCATGGGAAGGCCAGGGAGTTGCTTTTCAACATAGTCTGAACAAAGGCTGTGTCTGTGCAAAAGGAAGTGCCGCGGCTGTTTTGGGAAGCTCAGCGCAGCCGGCGATGGCAGCAGGGTTTCTCTGTGCCTGGGTGTTTGGCTCTCCCACTCTCCCCGCTGCTGTGGACCCCGAGTGCTTGGGCTCGGCCGGGGGAAGGCAGGTTTCACTGCACAACATCGCTGTCACCCTGCTCAAAACAGATTCCAAGTGAGCATGGCTGTGGCTGGTTCTGGTTTCCAGCACGGATCAGTCTATGGGTGGAAAGCTCATCCATGACCTTGGCCTGTATGGTCTGACCCTCTCTAGGACATTTAGCGCTCAAGGAAGTGACAATTCTTTTTCTGCGAATGGGGCAGGCAGCTGTCCTTCCATCGCCCGTTCCGGTCCCGCTCAGCCCCGTGAGGAGCTCACCACTACCTGTGCGCTGCCTTGGGCCTCGCGGAGCGTGGCACCACAGGATGGTCTGGGTTGGAAGCTCCTCTCGTTCCCTCTTGTCTCCTAGCTGACAAGAGAGTGAGCTTGTAATTCCAAAACATAAGCAAGGGGAACCCTGAGGCTGAAGGGCCATGACTGGGCTGCGCCCTGAGCAGCCAGAGGGACGCTGGCACGCTCTCTCCTTCTGAGGAGGAGGAAAGCTCGGTTCTTCTTACTGCTCACAGAAGACTCCCCCTCCCCCAAACTCCTGTATTCATACAGCTGTAAATAAATGAGCATTTAACAATTAATTCTCTCACCTTTTTTCCTTTGTTCATATGAGAACAAAGTTCATAGAAATCAGTACGTCTAGCCATTTTTCTCCCACTTCTCCTCTAAAATGCTGTCACCAAGGGTACCAGCAGCGAGCGATGCCTCTGAACAGACGCACAGTGCGCAGGGCAGCTGGCTGTATGGAACCTGACAGGCACGGGACAGTTCCTCCTTTTGGCAAGAAAGAATTCCATAAAAATAAAAGGACTGGGCATTTAATCTGTAAATAATTTCGCATAATAAAAAATGCTACATAAACAAAGTTGTCCTAGCCAAAAGAAAACAGTATTAGTCACTTAATAAATATATTCGTAAGAAATACAGTTCATAGCAGAACTCTTATTTTTAGAGGGTTTAATTTAAAAAGTAAATTCATAATTTAAATTACTCAAGCAACATTTCTATTTCAGCTAGGTTTTGACTGACTTAAAGCATTATTCTGATAAACAACAAGACAGTTATATCTCGATCAGCTAGTATTCTGGCTTAGCATGTTCCACCGTAAGAGCAGAATTTAAATAGTTTTTGGTCGCTGAGGTAGGCACAGATTGTAGTAGGCGTCCTTGCTCCAGAACTCCGGGCCCTTCCATCCACACCAGCCCTGTCCAAGAAAAAAGCAAGACAGCGTTTAAATCTAATAGGAATTCTGTTTTTCCTATCTACTGCTATTGGATCTATTTTACTCATATTAATCTAAGATGTAGGAATTATTTTCAAGTATCTACAGAATGCAATGCTGCACCATGTTCAGGAAGTTCTCTGTGTGCCTGGAAACGCACCAACGGAAAACCCCGTACGGAGTCTCTCTCCCCCACCCTGGCTCACTTCCTAAGCAGCAGCAGCATCTCTTTGCCCCCCATCCCCCCACCTTCTACAGAGAAACTAACGCTATTCCGAAACTCTCTCATCCCCACAGTTTCCACCTCTCTTGTCCTGAAGGATCCTTGCCGCCTTTGGCAGCAGCTGTTGTTTCAGAGCCAGACAGAGCTCTTCATGTCAAAAGCTGTGCTCTGGATTGTGATTTAGCAGAACAGTCTAACCAAGCTCTCAGGTTTGCGGAGTACCACGTAATGGTGTGAGGTGTTTTTGAAGAGAAGACCCACAAACTTTTGGCCCACCTCAGTTCCTCCCCTGCCACTTCTGATGAGGAAGGGGAGTTCTGCTCATATTTTATCCTCCTGGAGCATTCCTGAACGCCTCGTAGCTGAAACAGCCTTTGGTTCTGTGTGCTCTTTGGAAATGGTTTCTTTCTGTATTCATTTCAAGTTTTGATCATTACGGGGCTAGCAAAATGTTTCTCCAACAGCTTTTCTAGTTGAGCCCAACCCAAGGGTATTAAAAAAAGATACGAAATAAAAGTCTTACTTGCAACTTCATATGAAGAACAGAAAAGTAATTGATTACTTCACACCTACAGGACGATTTAGCCACTTTCACAGTTCCAGTTTCTGACACTGTTTACTGTTTTGTAACGTGCTACATCATCCCTTTAGTAGCTTTAAATATGGAAATAACATTACAAACCCTTTAGTTCTTTAGAGTTTTCCCAGATTTTCAAAACCACTCAGTACCCGCCCTTTAAACTCAGTTCAAGGCGTGTTGTGTGTTTAAATTTTTTTTAAAAAAATTTTAAATAAATGGTTATCTTCTCTGCTTCAGTAACAGCATTTTACAGGCTGAACAGATTTTTCTGTTCCATTCAAAATACCAAATGTATTTATTGTATATACTACTGGGTAAAAGGCAACACTGTTTAATTCTGAGACAGTAAGGAGCATTTCTTTGTACTATAACAACTTTATGTAGTTGCTGACCAAACGTATCCTCTCCAAAGACATAAAGTTTCAGACACTAAGTAGCTCATACACAGGTTAACTGGGATCAGCACCTCCTCCGTGAGGAACGGAGGAGCAACAGAACAGCCAGGTTGTATTTGGCTGTACATTATTTCTTTAAAGCCAAAATATATGTATATACATACACGTGTATCTATATGCGTGCATCAAGCCTTACCTTTTCCAAAATAACATGCAGATCTTCTCCTCCAGTGTAATGTGGGTCTAGAATCAAATACTTGATGTGCCCTGTAACCTCATTCCAAGCCACTCCTAATATTGTGTGAGCCAAGACACCTCCACCTAAAACAGGAGGAACACAAATTGCTAAAGATTTTTCACCGAGATGGTCTAAATGTGCAAATCGAAAATAAAAGTACATCAACGTTTTCTATTAACAGATTAGCTTGGTTATCAGAATGATTCTGAAGCTGTCCTGCATGAGATTCTTCACGGTATTAAACTGCGTATCTTTACTACAGCTAGGGAAGATTACTTATTTTACTTTACTTACTACAGCTAAAGAATTTACTTTCCAAATTTCTTCTATGTCAGTAAGGTGGCTTAAATCCTCAACGCGTCCACCAGATGACGTCAAGAATATTTCCAACATCTGTTTTACTCGCTTTTTCTTTAAAGGAATTCAACTGTAGAAAAGGAATCTGGAAAACCTCCTCACTGTAAAAGGACTAAAATTCAAACAGAAACCAAAATTTCTGGATAAGGGTTATCTGCTGCTGTCTACTAAGTTCCACCAATGGATATTAGGGGCAGAGAAGTAATTTCTGACTCCCCTTCCTCTAAGCTGCAAACAGGGAAAGGGGGTGTTTCGATGAGCTGGCTCTTGCGGGTTTCTTTCAGGCAGCACGAGGAGCTGGCGCCCGTGGGATATTGCAGTAATGACTCCGCACAGCAGACAGGAATTGCAAAAACCCC